ATCCACAATATGTACCTTTACTAGACTTAAGATGACAGGTGAGCTTCCACGGTCGCCTTCCAACCCCGGGGAGGGGGTTGGTGCGGAGGCGGGCAGCGATCGCGATCGGGAGCATCGTGAGAACGATCCAGCAGCTGTCGACGGAGGAGCTGAGGGCAGGGCTTGCACAGAGGCTGGGGGTCGGTGGGCCTTCCGCCGGGGAGCCTTTACGGTGGCCTCGTCCCAAGCAGATTGTTCGCCCGAGTGCTCCGTTGCCGGTTGGGAGGACTACCCCGGGACCCAAGGCCAAGCCCAAGCCGAACCCTTTTGCTCATATTGACCTGTCGATGGTGAATCTAGTGGCAAGTGCGTTGAATTCCTCGCTAGCGCTGACAGGAAATCTGGATCGGTTTGGACCACCAAGGAACACAACAAGATGAGCTCCGCTTGGCTGGGGCCCGACTCAGGATCTGCAACCGGCCCCTCTATAGGGGGTCCGCTTCGGAGAGGAGCTCAGCCATTGATCAGGACACGTGTGCTATGGATTGCTCCGCTGACACTCCCTCAAAGTGCGTTGCACTTCCAAGCTGGGACCTATGCAAGGCGCGGCGCCGAACGTCCTTACTTAGGTCCCATGATATTCTTGCAGCGCAGGCGCTGGCACACGCGCAGCGCAAACATGATGCCACTTACGGCCCCTTTCAGGGCGCCGTGCAGGATACGTCTCTGGCTCAGAAATCTGAGAGCGTTTCTGCACTGGACCTGCATTCCATGGACTGAACATGTGGACAGTGCCGGCGGCCCCGACCCTGGGAGCCAGCGTTGCATTCTTGAATTTGATGATTGCTGCGAGCGCGCCGCTCGCTGGAGCTTCAGCAACGCTTTCCACCGACGGCTCCCCAGCAGGATGCCGGTCGAGCCGAGCCCGGTCCCAAGTCCGGGCCTCGTTTCAAAATTGCCCATCACCATCCCGTCTGTCAGGCGAGGGGTGCGAGGAGCGGCTGACTCAGTCCTCCTGGTGCTAACACACACTTGTGCGAAGCCACGAGGTAGGCAATCTTTCGTTTGTTTTCCGTGCATCGTTGCAGCCTCAACACGCTGTACTGGCTATGCAGTTCCTGTTGCTCAGGATGTGGTGGCCTTCGTCCTCTACCTCTGCCACCTGTTCGTCAGTCCGTCTTTTCTTTGCGCGTACTTGCCATTTTGCTTGTGCACTTGTGAGGCCCATGTTCTTGTCTCCAAGCCACACTGCTCAAGCCCAGGATTAAGCCTGAGCCTTGCACTCGGACGATCATGGGCAAGGCGGTTCGACGCAAGCCGTCTAGTTGCGCCTCGGGCCGCGCGGCCAAGAAGCCCTGCGCTAGGACGGCCCCCAATCACACAAGCAAGTCCCGAGTCAAGCCGGCCCCTCGCGGGAGCCGTGGCCTTGGTGGTCAGGGCCGCAAACCGGCAGGAGTGGTCCCTAGGCTCGCAAGCTGCCCGTCTGATTCGGATCAATCCTCCAAGGTATCCTGGTTCACCAACTCCTCCGATTCGGCGCTTATCGACAGCAAGGAGCTGGCACACGGCCCCCCTCGTGGGCCGCCGCCGCCCCAGCCGGTGCGATATGATGACACCAGCTTCGAGGAGGAGGAGGCGTCGACCTTCTCGCGGCAGCTGCGTCGCCACCTACCTCCAAAAAACCTCAGTGGGCCAGGGATCCCGGCGCAAGGCCACATGAGCCTGCGCCTGCCGGTGGCTTTATACAGGGAGGCTCTGCCCCTCGCAAGGACCGGAGAGTCCTCAGTGGCAGTGACCGGGCTTCTCGCTTGCATGGCGGCGGCAAAAGTTGCACACTCCTCTCGAATCCTGCATACCCCAGCCATGTAGTCTGTGTTTGTGTGTCTGGCTGCCAGGTGGAGCGCGGACCACTCTTTCCTCAGGTTGGCCTGATGCTTGGTCGGCCCTTGCTGGGTGCCGGTTCTCATTGTGCAGCCTCACGGCCCCTCCTAGAAACCCTTGCACTCTGCCAGGCCTCTGCCGTGCAGCTCTTTCAGGCCATTGCACACTGCGAAACCTAGCGCTGACTTTGTATTGCGGTCTGCCTGTACCCTGTACCTTCCCGAATACTACCCTGTACTCGCCCCCGTGGTCTTACCTGCCCTCCTTGTGCAACCTGCGTGTTTGGCTGCCAGGTATGCTCCAGTCCATCACCTTCTCAGGTCGGCCTGTCACTCGGTGGCCCTTTGTGGGTGCCGAGCTTTTTCTTGCCCCCAGCCGGTCCCTCCGAGAGGGCCCTGCCTACCGCCAGGCTGGGGCTTGCATCTCCTGGGTCGACACGTGTCTCACCGTCTGCCTCTGAGCCTCTGCTGTCGGCACCGGACTCTTGCATGGCCTGCGCTTAGCGGTATTCTGTTGCCTGCTGGTGACGAGTCCATTGGCTTCGAGCTTTGCGAGAGTTTAGGCCCCTTGCAGGGTACCAGGCCTCCATCCCAAGACTCCCAACCTCAGCCCGCCACCCGACACATTACTGGCCACCAACCTCAACACCTTAATTCCTTCCTGCCGATTGGTTTCCCGATCTCTCCCCAGCAGCGCCAGCTTGCACATAAGAGTCCCATTGGGTGTGGATTCCCCTGTATATTCCTTTCTAATTATATATATTAATATACATATTAATATCTATTAATATATATTTATATTTATACTGCATAATAATTAGTAATAGTACATATTATATATTCCAAGTTTCATTATATAGACTATCTTAATATTATATTCTTGTATGCAGCAACAGCATCAAGCTTGACAGGCACACCTGTTTCCCGCAGCACGGCAACCTTACCTCCGCGAGAGGTATAAACTTGCTGGCGTACCTGTTCAGCCCCGGGGCCCAGGGGACTCAGGACGGCGGCCGTCTTACGAGGCCCTATGTTCACAAACAAGCCATGCGAGTAGAGGGTGTCAAAAAGAACCCCTGTGATGTGCTGCACCGCCCTCGGCAGGGCAGGGGCCGTAGAAGTCATCAGACACGTAGCCAAATCGTCGGCATAAACTATGTCCTGAACAGGCTCCTGCAGCGGAGCAGACCGAGGGTCCTTAAGCACCTGAAGCTCGCGTCGGCCTGTCCATGGCACAAGTGGCAACCACCCAGCTTCGGCAAAAGTGCCGCGACGGCGGAGGACGCGGGTAAATAAAAGGGAGAAGATGGCGTCCGCCAGGCATCCCCCTGGTCTAGTCCCTCGGGTTGTAAGTACAACCTCCGAGTCTCCGTGGAGCGTGAACCAAGTATGTCCGTGCATCTCACGGATCAAATCATGTGTGAGGGACGAACAATTGTCCTCGTGGTCTGTAGATCATCATCTGTAAGACCCGGCGTCTTCGTAACAGCAACCAAGGGTGTGTCCGTCAGGTTGCAGGCATTCGAGGGTTTTGCCCGCCCGCGCTGCTGCCGTTGAGGCGCTTCGAACTCCTACAGCTTGAGCGCCTTGGACCATTCGGTGCCGAACGAATCCAACCACTTTTGGCTGAATTCGGAGGTCAGCACGCTTGCGACCGCGATGCCGACCTCCGCGTTAGCCCGTGAGCTTGCACTAAAGTTTAAGCTTCCTATCACGGCACTAACGCTGGAGTCCGGCCTCGTCACGAGCACCGACTTTGCATGGTGGATGCCCGCGAGCCCCGCACCGATGCTCACATCCGTTCGGTTTTCGGAGGCATAGGCTGCCTTAACCGAAGTGCCCTTGCCGACACGGACCTGAACCCCAGCAGACCCTAGCTCCTTAAGGGACTGCAGCTGGAGCTTGGTCCGACTCGTCTGCGAGTTGTCGGCCAGCACGTGAGCACGGGCGCCTGGCTCCAGCGAGGACACGAGGGCTCCAACCAAGGGCTTGCTGTCGAAGCTGTAGGCCCGCACGTAAACGTGGTCGCCTTGCCCAGCATCCGCCAGCATCATCTGCACCACGCTGTGGTACTCGGGAACCTCTGTGATCACAGGAGACAAACGCGATCGTCGACGGATGTTGGCTCAAGTGCGGCTACATGGAAAAGGCATGCCGCGAGCACAGGGGACCACTGTCGCTTAGAGCGACACTGGTAGCGGAGCTCGGTCGCTCCTGAGGCCTTTAGATAGGGATCTGAGGTCGAGCGATAGCCCCGAGCCTGTGCGATGGCCAGTGTCGATCCAGCCGTCAGTTCTCCGGTACCTGACCACGGTTCCTTCGATGATGAAGTTCGCCCTGCTGCCGGACAAGGGCCAGACGACGACGAAGAAGAAGTGGAAGAGCCTATGGACCCATGGGCGCAGGCCGCTAGTGAGCAGCGCGTTCCCCGGCTTGACCCCGAGGAGTTCCAGCGCTTCCGCGACTTCATGCAGAACCGAGGCCCTTCACGATCCTGCAGGGCCCGTCGCGGTTCTGAAGATCATGGCGACGATTTTGACGACGACAACAACAAGGGCGCGAGTTCTGGGCCACCGCCTACCTGGGACGGAACGACAAGCTTCCGGGATTACCACATCCGCGCAAAATTGTGGTTAGCCACAACCCGGGCACGGCCGAGAGCTCGAGGACCGATGCTGCTGAAGAACCTTACCGGTAACTCCTTCGACGATCTCAAGCATCTGGCTAAGGATGCGGCCTGGATGCAGAACGATAAGAACGGCGAGATGCTCCTGGCCCAGATGGACACCAAGGAGCTCTACGGTGAGGACGCCCGCGAGGACATGCTGAACACCCTGGTGAAGATAACGTACACTCTTAGGAGAGCTAAAGTAAAGGGGAGACGCATAAGTTGTTCTTTTCTCGTTGGGTTGGGACAACCAAGTGCGACGTCTTGGAGAACACAATGTCACCCTGCCTCCGGAGTACTTAGGCTTCCTCCTGGTGATGTCCTTGCAGCTCAGCGGCGACGAGGTCAAATTGCTTCTGAACTACACCCAAGGCAAGCTTACGGCGAAGGCGGTCAAGGAGTGGGTCCGGGTCCACGAAGCGGATCTGGACTGGAAGGCCTAAGGAAAGACGGCTACCAAGCCCCACGCAGCGATGCTTGTGGAAGGCATCGATGATGATGGCGATGATGGAGATGAGCCCGGGGAGACACAGGACCCTGGTGAGCTCGAGGTTCTGCTTGGTGCGCTTGGCGAGCTGGATGAAGCGGGCAACGTCGATGGCGAGACTGCGGGCGACGAGGTCTTTGACGAGGAAGAGGCCAAGGAAATCCTGGCGGCGATGGTCAAGGACCAGGTCCGCGGAGGTCCTCGACGGACCTTTGCCGCCGTGAATCAGGCGAAGAAGCAGCGGCAGCTGGCACGAGGTTTTGGTACCCGACGAGATGCCGGAGGAGACCGATTCCCTCCTTCTCGCGGCAGTGGTCCCCATACGTACAAGGTGAGCATTGAAGCCCTGAAGCGGCGAACCCGCTGTGGGATATGCAAGGAGATCGGACACTGGCACCGCGAATGCCCGAAGAAAGGAGCCACCAATGCCAAGGAGAACCACTACCTGGCGACGCCTGGCTCGGACGAGGCATTCTTCGTTGAGTATTTGGAGTACCTTGATTATGTCGAGGCCACGGGTGGATCCACATCTAGCAGTTCCACCGGAAATCCGGCGGCCGACTTGCGTGCTCAGCAGAGGGCAGGATACATGGACCGAGTGCATGAGATTTGGTACGCTACAGCTCTTGCGGTTCCGGAAGAGCATTGTGCTACAGTTGATACGGGGTGTCAGCGTACTGCAGTTGGAAGGGCAACTCTCGATAAGTACCTAAAGGGGCAGCCATCCGGGATAGCGGTTGCCTACAAGAACATCATTGTTTCAAGTCAGTGAACGGCATCACCCAGACTCGTCAGGTCGCTTGTGTTCCAACGAGCTTGGGCCCCAAGGGATGCATACTTCGTCCTGCGGTGTTCGAGGACGGTGTGAGTCAGAATGCGCCATTCTTATTGTCATTGCCGTTCCTGCTGTATTGTCGAGCAGTATTGACCCTGGACCCCGAGAAAGGACTCAGCATGCACCTTGGTAGGTTCGGTCATCATGTTCCCCTGCATATTGGACCCACCGGAGCCCTTCGAGTTCCTCTTTCGGAATTTAGTCCGGCAATGATTAAGGACCTGCAAGGCTTTCTAGCACGACTTCCTGCGCAAGGTTCTGCTGATGTTGAGGTCAATCATGTCTGTGAAGAGCTTGGCCCCAGGGCAAAGTCTTGCAGGACATCTTGTGATCAGCGTCCCCTTGGACCTTCTGTGCCCAGCCATGCAGGCACCAGCTTCCAAGCGGACTCGGCGGGACGAGCCGGCCGAAGGGAGGACTCCCATCGGGCGGTGGCGCCGGATGACGCTACGCTTCATCATGGCGATGAACAACGTGATGGAGCAAGCTTGGATGTGTGCCGTGGGGATCCGGAACCCCGGGAACCTCAATCTACAGGGCGTGTGCCGGATGACCCGGGCATTGGACAACGACGAGCTCATGGAAGTCCAGGACTTCATCGACCAGGTGATGAAGTCCCGCGGATTGGTGAAGGAGATCGAAGACGACCGGGCTTCCATGAGGTCCCAAGCGAGTGGTGAACGAGAATGGGGCGGCGAGCAGCGAGTCGCCCAATCCCAAGTGCCATTGCGGGGTGGCGACGGTGGTTCTGCAGACCCACAAGCAAGGCCCCAACTTCCAGAGGCAGTTCTATCGCTGTCACAAGTGGAAGACTCCGGCACAGCGCTGCGAGTTTTTCCAATGGCTGGAACACCAGCCGCTCTGGAAGGATCCGAAGCCAAAGAATCCGCAGTGGTTGATGCCCGAGATCGGCGAGCCCATGGAGAACAACCAGTTTCTCCGCCCGGCCAATGTGGACTCGCGGATCAAGAACACCTTCTATGCCGATCCCAAGGTGTGCGAGCACCGCCATGTGATTGGTTCCGGAACAAATGCCTACCAGATCCAGAAAAAGTGCGGAACTTGCCTCAAGCTCCTCTTCCAGAAGGACCGCAAGACCGGGAAGATCATGTTCCACGACCCCAAGTACACGATTCCTCGGGATCTGATGGAAGGCAACTTGGCACGTGCCGAAAACACACCCGATTCGATCTCGGGTTTCACGACACCAGAGAACGTGTCCTCCAGCGACCTGGAGAGCACAGAGACCTCCTCGCCACCGAAGCGGGGAAAGACCAAGCCGAAGTCTCCGATGAAGCCGGTGACGGAAGCCTGGGAGATGGAGCCGGACGAGACCGAGTACCAGGAGTTCCTGGCCTGGAAACGCTTTCAGGACATGAAGAGGAGCAGCACCAGCTCCGGGAGCCGGCGCTGATGGACCAGAAGCCCCGTGAGAGGCAACGCTTGGTTCCCAGGCGACTTTTTGTGAATGTGCTCCGGCGCTGGGAAACCGTATGGTCCGAGCTGATCCGGTGCTTAGGACCTGCGGCACAGAGCGGCGTCGAGGATCTGAAGAAAAAGGCGTTGAATGATCTGAGCCGTCCCAACAAGAAGCACCTTGCCTACTATTCGGAACTCCTTCAGCTCAGCCCAGCGTCTCTACGGAAAGTTGCTGCAGTGTATCGTCCTGAATCTCATGTGCGGTCACGAGGACATGTTCAGAGTCGAGTGGTGATGCAGGTTGCGATAGGAAGCGAATTGCTAGATGCGTCTGCCAGAGAGTCCATTCGAAGTTGCCTTCGGCACGAACGACCGGGGATCGTGATCATTACGTGTGCCGGCAGTTTTCCCTCTCATGGTCACCAAGTAGATCCATATGGTCGGTTTGGCAACATAGCAGCCTGGAAACGTCACACAAACAACATCAAGAAGACAAAGCTGTTACGACAGTTTGCGATCGAACTCTGCCGTCTATGTAACACAAGGGGTCAGAAGTTCGTGCTCCAAGTGCCATGGTCGTCAGGCGGTGGTGATGACCGTCTTTTACGAGAGCTGCTTCGCGAGCCCGGCGTCTTCAAGGAGAACGCTAAATGGACCGCAGTCTCTCACCGGCCGACTGGTCCGGCGAATGGCGACCTGGTGACCAACTGCCCAACGGTGGCCAAGAAGGTTACCGAGAACATCCGTCCAGAGATGATCGCGGCCGTTCCTGCCGACAACCTGGTGATATCTGTTAAGGACTGCTACGCCCACCTGACCAGCCGGAGACCCGACGAGCTGAAGGTGGTCCGGGATTACGAGGTGATCCAGGAGGACCGGGACTTCGACGAGAACTACTTCACCCCGAGCGAGCTCGAGGAGATCCAGCTGCAGCACGAGAAGGGCATCCCACGTCACGAGGTTCATGCGGGAGAAGATGTTGAACTACCTGATGCACCGTGCCGAGGAGATCACCCCGCGAACCACGGAGTCGACGAAGATCATCTTCAAGGCGGCGGTTGGCAAAAGATTGATGAGGACAGCTGGGCCTACGTCGACAAGCAGGGGGGCCGGCTGTCAACACCCACCGGCATCGACTTCAAGCCTGAGGACTTTCCTTGGAGAAGCAGCTGGGCTCTGGAAGAAGGACGCTGGACACAGATCGAAGATGAAATCAGGTGGCGAGATCTACGAGATCAAGAGCGAGCTCTACCAGGACAGCCTACGGTGGTCACCATCTTCCGACGGAAGGCCGACACAAAGAACGGGCGGAACATGCGCCACTTCCCGGGGATGCAGAAGGTGACGCTTGAAAAGATGGTGCGGCGGGCGCACGAAGGACTTGGCCATCCTGAAAGAGAGCCAAGAGAGCGGTTTCTACGCATACTTCGTCACAGCCGAGCCCCCGAGGAGGTGATCGAGATTGCGAAGAACCTACGGTGCTCTACCTGTGAGTCCTACCGACTTCCAGACCCTGCTCGTCGAGGAGCTCCTCCCCGCGAACAGGTGTATGTGAATGACCTGGTTGGCATCGATACGATCCATATTCGAGACCATCGTAACCAGGCCATTCCCGCGGTCAACATCATCGATTGGCACTCCCATTTCCAGTTGGTGGTGCCGATGAAGGGTGAAACTGCCGACCATGCTCGGGCGGCTTATCGACAATGGACGCGGTTCTTTGGACCACCGCGCCGCTTGATGATCGACCTGGGCTCGGAGTACAAGGCCCAATTCCGCCGGCAAGCTGAGCGAGACGGTTCGGAGATAATTCCATCATCTGTTGAGGCACCCTACCAACGAGGGCTCACCGAACGTGCCGGCGGGATCTTCAAGGACATCCTCTACAAGGCCATGCAGGATTACCGGTGCCAAAACGAGACGGAATGGAAGGAGCTTGTCGACACCGCTTGCATGACAAGGAATCGTCTTCTACTACGTGCTGGCTATTCTCCTATACAACGGGTGCTTGGATACTCCCCTCGACTACCTGGAGGCATCCTTTCTGGAGGGTCCGCGTCGGGGACCTTCCAGCAAAGAAGGCAATGGAAATACGAAAGGCTGCGGCTTTTGCATTTCACGCGGCGGACTGTGAGGTGGCACTACGTTCCGCTACCTTGGCAGGGCCACGGCAGTTCCGCGACTACGAACCCGGCCAAGCAGTTTATTTCTGGAGAAAGGGTGCCGGCACCAATAAGAAGACCCGGGAAAGCTACTGGCATGGACCCGGACGTGTGGTTATGACGGCCTTACCGGGGGCAATGTGGATCGCCTACCAGGACAATGTCGTGAAGGCCGCCCCGGAACGAGTACGACCTGCCGCCGAGGAAGAATCACTATCCTTGTCTGGATGGCTAAGTGGCCTGTCCGACCTGAGGGAGAAGTTCGAGAAGATGCCAGCCAAGGGTTTCGTGGACCTCACCAAGGACCAGGACCCCATCGAGGACGACGAAAACGAGGCAGGAGATCTTGAGCCTCCTGATGAAGCGAACGAGTGGCCACCTCCAGCAAGACGAGTCCGGCAAAAGACGAGCGACTACTCCAACTTCGGTCAAGTACCACGGGCCGGCGATCAAGAAGAATTCCAAGGCGATCCAGGTGCTCTACCTGGACCTACGGAAGGGCGACTACTACCTGAACCTCCTCCGGGACTACCTGCACCGATGGAGACCACGGAGGACGAGATCGTCGATGAAGGGATCGCCGAGGACACCGGATTAAGAGACAACGGCTTTGATGATGAAACTTCCCCGGCCCGCGACGAGCTGGAGAACAAGCGTGAACTGGACGGAGGCGAGCAACCGGCCGGAAAACGATCTCGAGTCGAACTCCTTGAGATCTACAATGCACAAGTGCAGGCGCTGGTGACGCAGCGGCAGCGCAAGGAGGCCACCGCGAAGGATTTCCTTGGAAGGGACGCTGCTCGACTACAGCAAGCGATCGCCAAGGAGATCACCAACAACCTCAAGACGGGCGCCTACAAGTTGCTGTCTGTGGAGGAGTCCGACAAGATCCGAAGGTTTAAGGACGACAAGATCATGGAGTCAAGGTACGTCATCACTAAGAAGCCCCTGGAGCCTGCGGACGTGCCGAAGGCCCGCAGCGAGGGTCTTCTGCTAGATGACACGTCCCATGGGCCATGCAAGGCAAAGTGCCGACATGTCATGAAGGGTTTCTCGGAGGCTGCGGCGGTCGAGGTCGAATGCACTACACCACAAGTCGGCCGAGGCTCTGTGGTTTTCATTGTCCAAGTGCTAGCTTCGATGCAATGGATGCCAGGTTTCTTGGACTTTACCCAGGCCTTTCATTCCGGAGACCAGATCGACCGCGAGTTGTACTGCTACCAACCCCGCGAAGGAGTCCCTGGAGCAGACCCTCGGCAGCTTATCAAGCTGCTCAAGACCTGTTACGGTCTGACTGATGGGCCGCTGGCATGGTACAAGCACCTGGCACGTCGACTGCAAGACGACTTCGGCTACAAGGCGAGCAAGGCTGACCCTTGCGTGTTTCTACTACATGGCGAAGATCACAACGAAGGCCAGCTACAGGGCATTCCACCACGGGCTGTTCGACAGTTCCTAACCTTCGATTAGAAGGGGCTATCGGTAGCAGCAAGCGAATAGGTTATTCGCTTCCGTGATCCGCTCCTAGAGCCGATCTTAAAATATCGTCCATCATTCTTCAAAGCTTGAAACTTTAGGGTGCGGTCAACTCGATGGTTGATGATCGTCGAATTGAGCCACTATGTGTGCCGAGAGGTATCGACCAGTGGCGGAAGATGGCTTGATCCAGATATATTCACTGAAATTTGAGCCACACACATGAACAAACAGCTTAGCAGCAACGACTCGTCCAGAAGTTTGAGCCACTCGCACAAAACAAAGGGTTTGAGCCACTCGAACATGACAAACAATTAGGGGTTCTCGTGTTTTAGGGTAATTATTATCACATATATCTCATCCTTATACTTATTCTATTATCAAAAAAATAGTTGTACAAAAGTCGTTTCTAAAAAAGAGAGAGAGCGAGACTATATAGAGAGTGGTATATATTCAGAATATCGCAAATATTTCTCAAAATCTGTAGAAAACCACCGGTCGGAACCATAGCCTGGGATTCGCTCGATCCCTGACTTCTTGATTTGTGCGTCGCGCAGCAATGCATATCGCTTTCTTTTTGATGACTTGTTGACGTAGCTCGATCGATCACAAGGTACGTATAGAAGCCTGAGCTTCGAGCTCGTCCACTCAAAGCTCCAATATACGAAGCCCCAGATCAACATAAAATTCGCCCAGGCGCACAGATGGTCATCATTTGAACTCATTCGTGCATGTATCCTTGCACGTTTAGAGCTAACAGGTCGAACAGCGCTCTTCGATCGATGCAAAATATGACAATATGACCCTCCAAACAATTCCTATTGTTGGGTTCTTGAGCTTCGGTGCAAGCAAGATACAGAAACTGGAGCAGCAAGTTCATTTCCTGGCGATATGTTCATTATTGCCTCGGCTCAGCAAGTATATCACAGTGCCACAAACCTCTACCTGCAAGCCGGTTCTTGCAGATCGAAGCAGCCAGAATCTCCGACATCGATCTGGGAACATGAGCTAATACCAGGGTTTTAACACTTCACGATTGTCACATGCACCGTCGCTCGAGCAGATATACCAGCAAAGCATTCGTGTTGCATTGATCCATGACGCATGCAGTCGCACATCGACCGAATTGTTGCTTGCAGACTGCGGCAACTTTCTCTTTTCAGATATCCCGAAACGGCAAGGTAAACTGGAGCGTGTACTTGAATACAACATGTTTCGACAAACATGTCTGGTGAGACTTGATTGCAAGTTGTTTTAACCTGCGTACCAGATCTTCGCATTGGTAGTTCGAGAAGTATCTCATGTTCAGGACAAAACCGGAGGTCCCTGTGAAATCAAAAGTTGCGTGTTCAAAGTAGTGGTTTTTGGGACGCTGTGGCCACCTGGTGACCTTCCAGTCTAGCGCTTGCTGCGATAGTCGGTTGTATGCAGCACGGTACAGCAGGTAGTAGTCTTGGAACAAACGTGTGGCATTCCCGGTCAACAGTCGCCTTAACTCCATATAGGGCAAGGGCAACGTGTAGGATCTATATTAAGGATTGATGATTCGTGATTATAGGGCTTGTATGATTAAATCAAATCCTAATATTTATATGTTAATTTAGGTCTACTCAGAATCGATCCCGAAACCGAACCCAAGTATTAATCAATATAATTTGCTACATTTCAGCCGATAGACCCGTGCAACAGCATGAGCTCCTCCATCTTGGCGAGGCCCAGGCATACTCCAACTCGCAACCTCGATCAGATGACTTTACAATTTATGTGTATGTAAATATGTATATGTATATATGTATATGTAAAATACAGCTGGGATATGCTTCGATTGCGATATTTCCAAATTAAGCTAGGGCTGCATATGGATTACGTCAAACATATATAGGTGGCTTCTCTATTCGTTCCTTTTGCAATTCGGTTACGTAGTAGTATACTTATTACTTATACCCTATAACCAACATTTTCTTTTCTCCTCACGGTACTAGATTGTTGGGGTCTCATTTCGGGTCTCTCTCTTCCTGCTCTCTCTCTCTCTCTCTCTTTCTCCAGATCTCTCGTGCACAACAACACATACAACAGCGCACACAGAAATAATTGAGTCTGGAAGCTGAAGAAACGTGCTGTCGGGGGAGCTCGCGAGCAATCCAGACAAGTAGTGTGAAAACCAGAATATCAAGTAACGACTGGCCGCTGCGCTCAGGAGCTTCTGGGAAATCGACCGATATTCTTTGAAGTTTGGTCGAATAGTTCTGCTGGTAAACAAGCGCCTGCGGGCCCTGTCGCTGATGCCTGGGATTGATGGGGTAAGGCTTAATCCTCGTATATACAGGTCCCCAAACCCCAAATCCTAAACCCTATAAACCCTAATATGGTTCAGTTGCCCTGGGATTCGCACCATTCGCGATAATTCTCGAAGAGCTCAGAAAGCTTGATATCACGCTTGGTGTAGTCATCTGTCAAGTCCAGCAACAAGGATATGTAAACATCGGAGAAGATTGCAAGGTGAGCCAAGTGCATTGCGTCCGGTAGGATGCCTGAACCCGCACGTGACTTCTAGCTCGGTCTAGACTACAGTTCGAAGATCAAACACAAATGTGAACATGCCACGCCAAGGGGAGAATCCACAGATCTGCGTCAACGGTGACGACCCGTGCACTGCCTGGAATTCCTCTGCGCCCGATATGAGCCTCAATTCGCACATCAATGGGAGGGCTGATTTTGGGGGTTTGGGTGTTTAAGGTGGGGTCTTTGATATAATATCCTAGCCACGTTTGTCTGTGTGCCGCTCCTCTACCAAAGGCAGTATACAACATCTCGGGATCATTCGGCGCATCATCGCCGTGTAGATATGTCCAGGCCAAGGCCTCAATCTTAAGGCTCGAAGCTAGTGGTGCAGTTGTCACTACATTTACATTCATTAATCTGAAGCAAGAACTCTTCAAAGGCACTTCGCAGTAATGGCACATCATCTTGCGCGAGTAGTCACCTGGGCCAGCGCTACATATACACGGTTTTTGTTGCTCCCTGTATCACGTATATTGCTGCAAAGGTTCGTTGCAGGCTGAAGATTTTACGAACGAACTCTAGATCTGCCTGCACTGCATCGAATATACCGACAAACGGCCCGCATATCCGTTTCCCGGCCATTCTCCATCTCTGTGGCATATATTCCGGCCCAAATTCATTCCCAAATGGGTCTGCGGCCGGGTAGACACCAGTACCTTATAGATGGGTCGAAAACAATTATACATTGTTGAATGTATTAGATGATTCGAAGCTTGGCGGCCGAGAGCATTGAATGACCACTTCAATGTTTCCAAGACTGCATTGCGACAGTTGCCAGAATGATAGTGCATATTCATACAGCTGATCCTCGATTAAGGGACTAATCACGAATCACCGATGACCGTCTGCTCACTGTTTCTACTCTAATGCGAGCCAAGTTCAGAAATCGTGATTGCATCGTCGATGCCGGTGCCATGGGAGCTAGCATCGCGAAGCACTCGAAGCTTTGGTGTTCTTAGATACAAAAAAGGTCGAACCAAGTTTATGGCTGCACTTTAATCCAGATCAAGCTGTGTGGCTCGTAGATTCTGCCCCGTCTCCGTATAGCCGAAGCGGTATACAGTGTTTGGGGTCGGTGGCCTAAGCATCGAGCAATATGTTCTAGACATTACGGCTGATTTTCCAGGCCCCATATCAATCATGTCGGTAAATACTTGTGGTCTAGTGGCGCTGAGAACCGGGTGTTCTCGAAACCAAGCCGTCTCGGAGAGCTCCTGCCAATATAGCAGCAGATCGTCTTCCTCGGCGGCATGAGTCTTGAAACCCGTGTGGCCACACTCCTTCGTAATCTATAACTTCAAGTTAATGATAAAACAACGAGGCGGCCAAACAAGATATGGTACAGGGGCGTCCAAATAAAACGAGTCAACAACAAGAGGCCCGATACATGTGTACATATACATGCATGTGTGCATGTATATACAATATTATGAGAAACCTACATAATTATAAATGCATGCAACCGATATATGAGTAGATTTCTACGTATATATGAATATATAGATAGAAGCAAAGAACGAAGCCATGTGTGTGTGTGTGTGTCTATATGTATGTACCGGTGAATATGGAGATGTCGGGAGAGTACAGCGACAGAGAGCGAGAGAGAGAGAGAGAGAGAGAGAGAGAGAGAGAGAGAGAGAGAGAGAGAGAGAGAGAGAGAGAGAGAGAGAGAGAGAGAGAGAGAGAGAGAGAGAGAGAGAGAGAGAGAGAGAGAGAGCGAGCGAGCGAGCGAGCGAGCGAGCGAGCGAGACAGAGAGAGACAGCTCAAAGCTCCAAAAGCCAGCTAAAAGCTCCACACAAACGGGTAAGCATCGGTCACTTAAAATTTAGGTGACCCAAATAAACACTCAGAGTCGGTCACCTAAAATTTAGGTGACCCAAATAAACACTCAGAGAGAGAGAGAGAGAGAGCGAGAGAGAGAGAGAGAGAGAGAGAGAGAGAGAGAGAGAGAAGAGAGAAAGAGAGAAAGAGAGAAAGAGAGAAAGAGAGAAAGAGAGAAAGAAAGAGAGAGAGAGAGAGAGAGAGAGAGAGAGAGAGAGAGAGAAAGAGAGAGAGAGAGAGAGAGGACCTCAAGTGTGCAACAGTCACTCGTTAGTAAGGCGAGTCACCTCCCCCGTCACCATACCGATATTTCCAGTATCATAGAGGGAGCCAAGGATTTCGTGTGGTAGTAGAAGATGATGTTGAACCAGGCCAGACCGCTTGCCGCGGGAATCTTCATATGGGTGCAATCAGGGGGTGAAGGAATACTGATGAAGCCACGGGGCTGCTTTCAGCTGAAGCCTTGAATCATTGATCTCGCGAATCGGGGCTTGAAAGTCTGAACCCAAAGTATCTGACGTAGCTCGCAAGCAGCCAGGGTGCATGAATGGTTGCGGCAAAATTTTTCGCCATGGCTGGCGGTTAGTCCAACGAATCAGGCATCGGAGCT